CCTGCTGGGCGCCGGGGGGAGGGGAGGAGCCCTGGAGAAACCCCCCGGCGCCGCGGACTGGCCGCGCCACTTCCGGCCGGGGTTCCTAACAACGGGGGAGGCTGGTAACCGGGGTGGGGGGGGGATGGCGGAGCGGGCACCCGAGCCTGAGGCGGAGGCCAGCGCAGGCAGGGAGGCGGCGGCGGAGGCGGCCGAGGAAGGCGCGGCGGGCCGCAAGGCGCGAGGCCGGCCGCGACTCACCGAGTCCGACCGGGCCCGGAGGCGGCTCGAGTCCCGGAAGAAGTACGACGTGCGGCGCGTATACCTGGGCGAGGCGCACGGCCCCTGGGTGGACCTGAGGCGCCGCAGCGGCTGGAGCGACGCCAAGCTCGCCGCCTACCTCATCTCGCTGGAGCGTGGCCAGCGCAGCGGCCGCCACGGGTGAGGGGCAGCCGGGCACGGTTAGAAGGGGAGAGGGAAGGGAGGAAGGAAAGGGGGGGTGAGCCAGGAGAGGAGACGCCCCCATCCCCCGCCCTCGCGCCTGTGGGCTCCGCCCCTGGCGCTAGCCCCGCCCTCTCCGGCGCTAGCTCCTTGTCCCGTTTCTCCCCGCCTCCCAGTTCCTGCAGGCTGTGCCCTCGCTGGCACAAGCTTGATTCCCAGTACCTGCGGACCACGCCCTCGCCGGCTCAGTGCCCCCGGCCCTCGGTACCTCAGGGCCCTGTCCCTGGTGCCTGCGGGTTTTGGTCTGGCTGACGCGAGCCCCGCCCCTACATTTGTACCTTCTGCCCTCGGCGGCCCTAGCCATGCCCCCAGTGCGTCGAGTCACGCCCCAGGTACCTATGGGCCCCACCTACGGCGTCAGGCCTCGCCCATGGACTGGAGGTGCAGGCGGGTCTCAGACTCCCGAGACCTCCGGCGCTCTGGCCCGCCTACTGCCCAATCCGAGCATGCGTCTAGTCTCTGGTCCCCTTTTGTGGCACTGGGTCCCGCCTGCTGGAGATCTAGGCGCCCAGTTCCCAAAGTGGCCCCATCTCCAGGACTTCTAACTGGCCTGACCCTGGAGGGGCTGCTTCACACCCAGAGGCCTGACAAGGGCTCCAGATAGGTCTGCATAGAGGGATGTCACAGGTCAGAGCTTCCAAAGGTCCTCTCACCTGGCCTGGACTCTTGACTAGACACCCTGAGACTTGAAGGCCTTTTACTTTTTTTCTTTAAAGGGATGGGAAAAACCACGTAATTTGCGTTTATTATTCTTTTTATTACATTTATTATGGGTATGCAGGTCAGAGAACAAATTGTGATAGCTATTTCGTAGCCTTCCATCCTCTGGGTCCTTGGGAATCCATGAACTCAGGTCATCAGGCTTAGGAGCAAAAAGCACCTTTCCCATTGACCCACCTTAATGCACTGTGTCCCGCCCTCCTTTTTTTAAAGTAGTGTCTCAGGAGTATATGCTGGCCTGAAACCTGTAGCCCAGGCTAGCCTGAAACTCCTCGCACTCCTTCTGCCTTCGCTGCTCAAGTGCTGGAATTAGAGACATAAGCCACTCTGCTCAGCTGAGCCATTTTCAACCTTTGTGTCTGGGCCTGCCAGATGCATAGTTTGGTTCAAATAATGATCTTCCCTAATAGCCATATTTTTGTTTTTGAATGAGAAAGTTTATTAAGTATATAGCAAACTAAAATAAAAGCATAAATAGCAAGTGATAGGTAGGCAGAGAGGAAAACATCAAATTGGGCACCCAAAACCGCCAGAGATTTCAGAGATTGACTGAGGAAGCTGGCTTAAGAGAGTTGGTTGGAATTCACCATAGAGAGAATCCAGGGCAGAGCAGTGTCTCCCCTGTGAGACTTCTAAGTAAAAAGAACACATAGCAACAGTAGAGAAAAATGTCATCAGATTGGACACAAATCTGGCAGTTAAGGCTGGAGTACTGACTTAGTGGTTAAGAGCACTGGCTGCTATTGCAGTGGATCTGGGTTTGGTTTCCAAGACCTGCATAGCTGCTGACAACAGTCTGTTAACTCCAGTCTCAGGGAATCTGATGCCCTCTTATGACCTCCTTGGGTATTGTATGCCTGTGGTACCCTTACATATATACAGATAAAACACTCATACACATAAAATCTAAAAATTAAAACATCTGGCAAAAAGCCTGGGGAAATTGACAGTTAGCTGGAGTTTCTGATTGAGCTTTCTCTACGTGCCTGAGCTTCCTGCTTCTGTTTCCTACAACAGTAATCTGCTGGAAATGGTTTGCCCTCTAGCTGTTCGCAAGGAGACATGTTTTTACTCTTGGGCTGTTTTGCTATTCTCTATCAGAGTTGGGGGGCAGTCTATCCCCAGACAAGGACATGGGAAAACAGTTTGAGACAAACATGCTTGGGTCTCAGATGGGCAGATGGGTAACCTGGATCCCAGAGCCAGTCTCTCAGTCTGTTTAAACAGCATATGACAATTTACCAATGTAATGTACACCAGAGGCTAAAATGCTGACGACCTAAGTTTAATACTAGAACCCATATGCTAGAAGGTGAGAACCAGCACCACAGTTACCCACTGACCTTCACATGAAGACACACACACACACACACACACACACACACACACTACACACAAACATAAAATCTTAAAGATTTTATGTTTATGTGAATGTGTGTTTTGCCCACATATAACTGCACCATGTGTGTGCAGTGCCCACAGAGGCCAGAAGAGCATATCAGATTCCTTAGAACTGAAATTACAGATAGTTGTTAGCTGCCATGTGGGTAATGGGAACCTAACCTAGGTCCTGTGTGAGAGAAGCCAGTGCTCTTAACTGCTGAGCCATATGTCCTGCCTCATAAATAAAATCTTAAAGAAGGTTCAGCCCAGGGAAAGTCAGATACAGGGGGAGCTCCAAATTAGCTGGTGCAGTGGAAGGTCAGAGGCCTTGGCAAAGTCTTACAGTTGAGGAACATGGCAATTGGAGTTTTGTATCTCCAGCTGACTTGTTAGGTTGATGTGAGGAGGAAGTTAAAATACAGAGCTCGGCTGGAGAGATCTCTATGAGATCTAGGCCAGCTTTGTCTACATAGTGAGTTCCAGGCCAGTTGGGGCTACAGGGAGACCCTGTCTCCAAAACAAAACAAAACAGAAGTAGTTAGTGATGTGGCTTAGTTAGTAGAGTGTTTACCTAGTGTGCAAGAAACCCTGGGTTCATCCCTAGCACCTAGATGTGACAGTACACACCTGTAATACCAGCATTTGGGAGGTAGAGCAGGAGAATCAAGAGGTCAAAGTCATCTTTGGCCACATAGCCAGTTGGAAAACAGCCTGGGCTACATGAGACTATCTCAAAAGTGGGAGGTAAGGAATCAAAAGGAAGCAAGATGTCTCGAGCAGGTAAATGTGCTTGCCTCCAAGCCTGAAGACCTGAGTTTTGTCCCTGAGACCCATATAGTAGAAAGAGAACTGACTTCCGTAGGTTGTCCTTTGTCCACTGAGCTGTGGCATGCACCCCCTCCAATAAATAAATAAATATGGAATACAGAAATTATTCTAAAAAGTCAAATTCTTGCCATGCATGGTGGTGCATGCCTTTAATCCCAGGATGTTCTGCATAGTGAGTTCCAGGCCAGCTGGAGCTACAGAGAGACCCTGTCTCAAAAAACAAAAAAAAAAAAGTCAAACTCTTGCCAGGTGTGGTGACCATGCCTTTAATCTCAGCATTCAGGAGGCAGAGGCAGGTGGATCTCTGTGAGTTCAAGGCCAGCCTCGTCTACATAGTGAGTTCCAGGACAGCTGGGGCTACAGGGAGACCCTGTCTTTAAAAAAGTAGGGGTGGTGACTGGAAAGATGGCTCAGTGCTTAAGAGTACTAGCTAGAATTAGTTACCAGCACCCACATGGCAGCTAGCAATGGTCCTTAACTCCAATTCCAGGGGATCTGATGCCCTTTTCTGGCATCCTTGAGCATTATAGGACACAGGTGCACTTATATACATGCAAGCAAGACACATACATTAAAAAAATAAAATATGAACTAGAGAGATGGCTCAGCAGTTAAAGAGCACTGGCTGCTCTTGCAGAAGACGAGGGTTTGATTCTTAGCACCCACATGGCAGATAACAACTATCCATAACTCCAGTTCTAGGAGATCTGACACCCTCTTCTGGCTTCCACAGGCATTACACAACAACAGGTGTACTTACATACATGCAAAAATAATTTTTTGTCTTTTATCTTTTTTTTTTTTTTTTCAATGTGTACAAGTCTATTGCCTGCATGTATGAGAGTGCACTCATGTCATGCAATGCTGCAGAGGTCAGAAGAGGAATTTGGATTCCCCTGGAACTGCAGTTAAGGATGATTTGTAGCCTCCATGTGGGTGCTGGAAATCAAACCCGGGTCCTCTACAAGAGCAGTCAGTGCTCTTAACCCCTGAGCCATCTCTCCAGCCCCAAAATAATTTTTTTTTGTCCTTTTGAGGCAGGGTCTCCCTATAGCCACAGCTGGCCTGGATTCTCCATGGAGACAAGACTGGCCTCAAATTCACAGACATCCGCCTGCCTCTGCTTCCCCAGTGCTGAGATTAAAGGTATGCGCCACCACCTCACACCCAGCTTTAAAAAATACAATAATTTAAAAAATCAAACTGTTCCATTGGAGCTTTCAGAGTTAGGGTAGATGCTGGGAAACTAGAAATGAGGCCAACTCTATGAGAAAGGTGGTGATAGGATCCCAGGCTACAAGTGGGAAACTGAAGCACATGGAGGTAAAGTCACTTGGCCAAGGTCGCAGCCTGCTGCTGTGACAGACGAAGGCAAAGACGCTTCGCAGGGTGGGAGGTTTAGGGAAAAGAGAAGGAAACATCCAAGTGAGTGGGGGAAAGTGTGGTGAGTGTGCCCTATGGAGAGCAGGAGACTGGATGGAAGAGATGAGCAGGAGGGCTTTGCCCTGGTGTCATTTGTGGAACTGGGCACCAAAAGGAAAGAAAGCTGGGGCCCTACCACTGTTGTTCTGCAGGGGAGATGCAAGATTGGAGAAAGGCTCAGGGGACAGAAGACAGTTCGAGAGAGAAAGCTTGACCCCAATATCTGGTATGCTTACATCACCTTGATTTTTTTTTTTTTCTTTTTGAGACCGGGTCTCTATAGCCCCAGCAGGCCTGGGACTCACTATGTAGACCAGGCTGGCCTTGAACTCATAGAGATCTGCCTGCCTCTGCCTCTGAGTGCTGGGATTAAAGACGTGGGCCACCACACCCAGCTCTTACAACAATATTTTAACCTATTTCTTCAGGTCTAAAACACAGAGAAAGAATTTCCATGACATCACAAAATCAAATATATTACATACATTTCAATCAAGTGCATGTGTTCTGTAATTTCTTCTGGCTTTATCATCTGTCTGATATCAATTTTAATTAG